AGATAGATCTATAGATAGAAAGAAACAGACTGAGATAGATAGATAGATAGATAGATAGATAGATAGATATGAAGAGGTTACGATAGATAGATCTATAGATAGAAAGAAGATAGATAGATAGATAGATAGATGATAGATGAATAGATAGATAGACTGAGAATGAAGATAGAAACAAAGACTGAGAAAGAAAGAAAGAAAGAAAGAAAGAAAGAAAGAAGAAAGAAAAAATGAAAGAGATAGATATGAAGAGGTTGCGATAGATAGATCTATAGATAGAAAGAAATAGTCTGAGATAGATAGATAGATAGATAGATAGATAGATAGATAGATAGATAGATAGAGAGACTGAGAAAGAAAGAAAGAAAAATGAAAGAGATAGATAGATAGATAGATAGATAGATAGATAGATAGATAGATAGATAGATAGATAGATATGAAGAGGTTGCGATAGATAGATCTGTAGATAGAAAGAAACAGGCTGAGATAGATAGATAGATAGATAGATAGATAGATAGATAGATAGATAGATAGATAGATAGATAGATATGGAAACATAGAGAGACCGAGAAAGAAAGAAAAAGTAAGAAATAGATAGATAGATAGATAGATAGATAGATAGATAGATAGATAGATAGATAGATTCTAATGAATGAAACTGTTGTTCTATTCTAACACATCAAAAACTGACTTTGTTCGATATGAACACACATGCAATTACACGCTTTCAGCTATGTTTCGGGGTATGTCAATGTACAAATCGTCTATTTGTACAATGATTATTTAATGTACACTTTCTTCTATACGGCGAATCTTCAAGAATAAGACCTATTATTGATGTCGTTCGTTCTCATTCCTTATCATTTTTTAAAAATAAGGCTGGTCTTCAGTGGGCAGTTTTCGTTCCAGATTCCCCTCCACATGGAAATCTACTTTAATCTAATCCAGCTTGGCACATGCTATTACGTAACGTCTTTGAAGTACTAGTAAGATCAACTTGAATTTCGTTCAATTTGTCTTATCTTTGCTTGTACAGCCCATCTATTTCGGTCTGCTTGATCTGCTCGGAACTTACACTGCCAAAAACTGTATATGCCAATTATTTAATATTTCGTTAACTATTCTGAACATTTACATGTTTTCTCTTTCATGGAGGAGAGATTTTAAACGCATATAAAATGAAGAAACATAACCAGCTCCGGACTTAATGCTGGCGAAAACAAAAATACATTATAAACTATGAGGTATGCTGCTTTTAGACAACACACGACAAGATGAACTTGCGATATTTGGCTATAGTCATTAAGCTCAAATATTTAACGATTCAATAAAGAAATTTCCACGGGTATTTTATAGCCATGAAACTCGCAAAGAGTTATTTATTCGTTGTACATCAGAACATTCATGGGTACTACTAGTTATTAATAAGCTATTTCACTAGTATTCTTAAACAAGACAATAAAACCGCTAACAAGAAGTGTAAGAGAAAATGAGAAAAAAACTATTAAGGAGAGAGAACAATAAAAAAAACGAATTAAGAAGCCGAAAAAGAGTTCCACAAGCGGGAAGTGTGATAGAAGAAACTGCTAACATAGAACTTACGGTTACATCTAGCCATTTGAGCTGTAACATAATGAGACCTTGCCGCTAATCTAGTACTGCGCATATAATTCATAAAGTCTAGGTACTATAGAAGAAAGTTATATTTATTTCTGTATTACCAGAAAATGTAGGACAAAGCCACAAGGAGGATGAGAAAAGTCTGCTCTTCACCTGTCTTATCTTTAAACTTAATCACTGGATCAAACATGCCATAACATTCCTTATACCAAAACAACACATTCTTACTTACCATTCTTATTACAGTGACCATAATACATCAGAATCTCAATGAAGTCCGCATATATATAATTTTTCTGGGTGGGAGGAGTGATAAAAATAAGTTTTTTTAGAGAAAAATTCATCAGAATAATTACCACGAAAGTATTTATAGAAAAGGCACAGCTAAGTTATGCTTAAACAGTGGAAAAGTGACTGAAGCCGAGATGCGAGGTCAGGACATTGCAGATTCTTCTTTGGATTTTATCAAGGATCTCAAAATATAGCAGGAGCACCAGACCGTATGTGGCAGCTATGTTCAAATCATGGACAAATGGTAGATTATTATTTGAATTTTAGATGGTCTTGTCAAAAGTTTTGTCGTAGTCTATGACTATTAATAAGTGACGGTGCTAGACCTTAAAAAATAAATAAAAGGCACTATTATTAGCAGGATACCCGGTTGCAAAAACAGGGTGTCGAGATATCTCCATAATCTGAATGCATTCATCATAAACGACTTCATTATAATGTTTGCTATATTTTTGGATATCACATTACAGGTTTGCGTATGAGATAAATTTTTAGTCCTCTGGTTTGGCAAGCCTTTCAACAATCAACTAGTTCGACTAAAAGGGGACTTGATACTGAACTTGTCTTGATTCAACTAAGTCTAAGCCTCTAAAAGTAGAAGTCAGGTAGACAGATGAAAAGAAAATGATTTAGTTTGAAATTTGTACCTACGTCAAAAAGGATATGCAGGGGGCGATTGTAGACACTGATATATATATATATATATATATATATATATATATATATATATATATATATATATATATATATATATTCATACTCATTCTGTTCATATCTATCGCGATCTATTTGCACCTATATATATATATATATATATTTATCTATCGCAATCTTTTCATATCTATTTATCGCAATCTCTTCATATCTATATATCTATCTATCGTAATCTCTTCATATCAATCGCAATTTTTTCATATCTACCTGTCTGTCTATCTATCTATCGCAATACCTCCATATCTATCTATCTATCTATCTATCTCTCTCTATATATATATATAGATAGATAGATAGATAGATAGATAGATAGATAGATAGATAAAAGTGAACATAGAAGTCAACACTTAGAGGCGACAGTCTGTTTCATGCAATCGTCAGGCCACGTGTGCTGTTATTTGTCTCAGCTATTTATATATACGGGTCAGTGGTGCATTGTAGGTAGTCTATTATGGCGGTTATTTTACCGGAAGTCGTTTATCTATTTATTTGGGTTAAATTATTTTACTTGTTTTTATTAATTTTTTATTTTTTATTTCTTATTTATTTATTTAATTATTTATTTTTTCTTAATCGGTGTTTTAATTAACGTAGTAAAAGTTTGTTTATATCACTTATTTAATAGTTTTGTTTTGTTTTGAGAATTTAATTAAAGCTATTTGTTCGGTTTTGGGGTTGATTGTTAAAAAAATATGATTTAATAAGTCCGGTTCACACTCCTCCCCGGTTTTTTAACAGGAGTAGTGGCTTATCCCTTGTTTCCTGTTTAGGATTGGATTTCCGGTGATTCTAATTTTCCCATTCTCTTTCTCTCCCAATAGACCTTTGCGTCTTAATGGCATTATCGGATTGCTTGCGAGGAACTTATTTAAAAAAAAAGCATTAAAGTAAAATTTAATTATGATTAACGTGAATCCTGTTCTTTCTCACTGTTGTACATTTGGTTGAAATAAGATCCATTTTTTCTGCTGATGTTTTTTGATCAGCAAAACAGCTTAAAATATTTTTTTCCATATTGTCTTATAGATTTACCATGTATATAGCATAGGGGGGGATTCCACAAATGTGGAGGAATATATATTTTCCTGAAATGCTGTTTTTAGAGTAAGATTTTATATTTTTTTCAGCCGATGGTCAGGATAACTTTTCGCTGAATGAATGTCGAATGTTTCTTGTATGGAAGCGAATGTTCTGAAATTACCATAAAATAGCTGTAAATTCCCGGATAAACTTCAGACATTTATATGATCCTGAAATAAACATAATTACAAGAAAAACATTCGCGTACACTAATTAGAAAGCAGTTTAAAAATTATAATTTTATATCTGTATTGATGTGTTTTTGTGTAGTGGTTAGTTGTTGGAAAATACACAATATCAGACGTAATTCTGGATATTTCATGCATATAATGTTTCAAGACGTCTTAGATCCAAAATATGTATAAATAAGCTCATCCCATTTTGTTGCATCGAAAACAAGAATGTCAAAAATAATTTCTCAGCAGCAGATGGGAACGTGTCTGTTGTATAATTTCCAAGCAGGCTTTAGTTCCGCTAAATCGATGTGCTGAACGTACGAAGCGCTTGAAAGCAAAATCATTGACAGCACTTATTAGCCATTTGCCAAAATCCGGCCCAACGAACTGGAAACATAGTAGCATTAAATAGAATAAAATTATACAATTGGATGTTTATCAAGACAAATCGAGCCATATAGTGGATGCTAAATGATGCCGTTTATCCGTTCATATTTGAACGGAATGTGGCACAAGGCCTAATTTAAAGTGATTTCCCAACGTGTACAAGACACACAGACAAACTTTTTCGGTTATTTAGAGTCCAAAACTTTTGGTTTGCTTATTTATTTAATTTACTATTCTTTTTCGAATCTTTTTCAGTTTCACTTTTTATATTTGAAATAAAGTTTATTAGATTTAATTTATGGTGTTATTTTGGCGGTGGTTGTAGGTAGCGTGGTAGGAATTATATGAATGCGTGTCGGTGTGTTTCCAGAAAATATACACGCATACACAAACATCTATGCAAAAGTAAATATATATGTGCAGTAAACATTAATGTACTCGTTAACCTCAGTTAAAAATAATCACCACGTGTCAACTGAACTGACTCGTTACCTTTTAAATGATATTAACACATATTTAATGTGAAAATAAACTGGTTTCAGACTAATAAATCCTGGAGAAATTTATAGCTTTTAAGCATAACGTGTAGTCTAGTAATAAATAATTTCCTTTAAGTATTCCACATTTTATGTCGATGTGGCTTTATATTTGTTGGATTTTAAGCATTGATCCAAGAATGGTTATGAGTTCCTTTTCCTATTAGAAAGAAGACTGATATATATATATATATATATATATATATATATATATATATATATATATATATATATATATATATATGTTTGTATATATATATATATATATATAAATGTATGTATGTATGTATGTATCTCTCTCTCTCTCTATATATATATATATATATATATATATATATATATATATATATATATTAATGACAACCGTTATCTTGTCTTCTTAATTACAGTTCTTTTACTTAATAATATTTAATAATATTTTCTTTTTCTCATATTTCTTCACTTTCATTACACCCTTGTATCTATATATATATATATATATATATATATATATATATATATATATATATATATATATATATATAATATGTAATATAATATTAATAATATATATATATGATTATATATATGTATATAAATAAAAAGAAAGAACAGTAAGATATATAATCCGGTGTTCTTATAGGTATTTTTATTTTTACAAAATAGTGCTCGATGTTAATTTACAGAGCATTAATATTATAAATTAATTGATTTAAAATATGTTTTTTCTGTTACACAGTTCTAACCATGTTTCAAAAATGGAAGCTAAAAGACACGAATTTGATTTTGCAATTAAATTAAAGACATTAGTTCCATTTCATCCTCAAGCGAATTTGGAGTAACTTTTAAAATTACTGGGTTTTAAAGACACAGCTAAAATCACGTTTCCATGGTTACAGATAAATCTACTTCAACTGGACAAGGGGTGTCTGGGTTTTCTTTATGTCTGCATCATTGTATCGGTTATTAGCTACATTTTGGTAAGGGGTAGGCATGTATTTTTCAATGAAAACTGACATACGTTGAATTTAGACAATGGAAAAATAAAGATAAAACCTGATGGAAATAAACAAAAACTATGTAACTGTAGAAACCCTCATAATTGCCCTCTACAAAATAAATGTCGCACTGAATCATTAGTATACCAATGCAATATTTCTTCGATTGAAAGTCCTGAAAACATAAAAATATATATAGGTTGCACTAGCCATGAATTCAAAAAAAGATTCAACCAACATCAAACTTCATTTAGAATAAATAAATATAAAAATCAGACATCTCTCTCAAAATACTTCTGGCATCTAGAAGAATCCAATAAAACACCTACAGTAAAATGGAAGTTAATAAGAAAAGCTAGAATATGTAGGTCATTAAACGACCCATGTCCTTTGTGCATACACGAGAAAC